GGTTGATCACTCACCCTAATCTGTAATAGACGAGAACAAAGCAGCCCTCCTGAGTTTGACTACCTTCTCAGTTGTACTACCAGATGTGAATGTCACCTGCATCGTCCACGACGACTGCATCCTACCCTGCAGCTTCAGGCCCACCGGCACCGTGGTGATCCACTGGTACAAGCAGCAGATCCCCGTTCACAGCTACTACTACCACAAAGATCAGTTTGGGCTCCAGAACAAGCACTTCAGTGGGAGGACATCTTTGTTCAACTCTCACATCCCTCAAGGCAACGCCTCCCTGCTCCTGAGGAGGGTCAAAATTCAAGACCGGGGCAGGTACAAGTGCTACACGAGCACGAGGAAGGGCAACCAGGAGATGTTTGTCAACATGGAGCTTAAAGGTTTGTGCAGAACTGTTGGATGGTTTTGAAATGACAATCCTTTAGAGTTCCACTTGTGTTTGTTGGCGTTTTTTATTGTTTCACTTGTTAGTTTTCAGATCAGATGATTACCTTGACGTTATTAAAAGCTGTCACTCATCGTTATCATTTTCAGACCACTTCTGTCTCCTCTCAAGCCCGCTGGACTCCGTTCTCTGAAGGATTTAAGAGTTGCTGTCGTAAATTTTTATTTAAAGGCAGACCTTGCTAACAATAATCTACATTTTGAAGACCATTTCTTACCTGGTTGTTGTAAATGTTTGTAAACGTTCAGCTTCCCTCGTTTTTTTCGTGTGTTTCAGCTGTTTGCTTTGAAAACAGCTTCAAAACTCAAACATCTTGAGATTTCCACGTAATCTGATGCAGAGTTTTAATCTGATAACTCTGTTATTGTCAGCTCTTTACCTAAAACATGCTGCTTTTTAATTTAGAGCTTGTTTCAGAGAACGGTGTAATCTTTGGCTTTGCAAGCAGAAAAAAACAGTTTTCATTCTGGAACGGAGTGTAGAGCTGTTGGAAAAGATCTTCCTTCGCTCAGCAGCTTTTCTAATAAGTCGTCTCTAAAGCTTGACACCAGAAACATTCAGTTTTTATTCTGGTTCTGTTGTAAGCCGTCAGTGTTTACACAGCAGCGGTCTGCCCCATTAACCAATGGGTAACACTGGAGAAGCAGCAGAAATGCATCATTTAAAGGAGATTCGTTTAAACGATGAAAGCTGCTGCAGAACAAAGATTTGTGATGTTTGTGTCTTGAACTCTGATGACTTCAGAGTGGTGTCAGATTTGTGTAATCCATCATTTCTGGTTAATTTAGTCACAAAATGCACGGTTCTAACTTTCCTGTTACTCTTCCAGCTCCCATCCAGTCTGTGATCATGGAGATAAACGACCAGACGGCCACATGCACCTCTCACAACATTTACCCGATGCCACAGGTAACGTGGGCCACGGAGCCCACCTCGGATCAGGGGGCTTTGGAAAATTCCACCATCAGGACCACCGACCATAAAGGCCTGTTTACTGTGGAGAGTACGCTGAGGATTGTGGGTAATCCCTCCAACCTCACGTACTTCTGCTCTTTCGTATCAGCTGACAAAACACAGACCTGGACCGCTTCTCGGAAAAACCAAGGTGATCGTTATCATTTGTTTAGAAAGAACGATTTGGGTGAATGAAGAGTAACTGTGTGCTTAACGTTGTTTTAGAAGATGTAACACAAGAAGAAGGTCATCCACTCTCCATCTTGTGCACAGCTCCACATAATCTGCAGAATTTCTCCCTCACCTGGACATTCTCGTCTTCCGGTGAGCCCTCTCTGATCCTGAGGTACGATAACAGAACCAGACACACGGTGAACCTGTGGGAGGGCCACGCTGAACTTGACCAGGACCTGCTCCTGCAGGGTGACGGATCTCTTCTGCTCAACAAGCCGGACAGCGAGGACCACTCTGGGACGTACATCTGCACTTTCTCAGACTCGCAGAGCAGACACATCGTTCAAACCAAAGTCAACATCACCGTCGCTTCAATGAGTGAGTTTCAGATGGTTCTCCCCGCTGAAGGGGTTGTGCACAACCGCAGAAGCGGGTGAGTAAAATAAAATGTTTCCTGCAGGTCTGGATAAAAAGAGCACGAAGAGGTCCTGGTGGAGCACAGCAGCCTCTGCAGCTTTTGTCTTGTTCACTATTATTATGGCTCTGCCTCAGTGTGTGAGACGAAGAGGTGGGTGAAGATTTCACTGTCTGGAAACATCTGCATCAGCAGACAGTTTGTATTAAATCTAATCTTATTGCTAAAGTATTTTAGGGATTTCTTTAGTTATTACTTTTAGTCAAGTCCACTTTTAAACTGATTTATTAAAATAAATATTGAGGAAATCTGATCTGCCTCTAAAAAAGAAATATTCCAAAACAAAGATCTAGCATGGTGGAAAAACAAGATTTTTAGAGCAACATTCTGGTTTTTCCGTTAATTTAAATAATTAATTTCCTTTTGAGAATTAATTTGTGGCGTTTTTTCTTAATTTGCTTCATTTTTGAGCACTTTTAGTTAAAAATACATTTTTTAAATAAAATTTTATTTAAAACTTACAGGACAAACACTGTTTGACCACATGGTGGCGCTATTTGTATCAAAGCTGTGGCCTAAGTCTGAATACTGTTGCACAGAAAGGGCAGACCATTAATTGTGCAAACTAAAAAAAAGTGAGGATCGATTATATTGTTTTGTTTTTTCTCCGGTGCAGAAACCGGAACACCCTCACACAGACACAACGGAACAGGACTTCACAAAGGTTTAAACCCTTCTGGCTCATTCATGATGGAACAGCACGGCATCGAGGGCAGCAGTCCGCCAGAAGCACGAGACGAACAAGCAGACAGCACGGAGGAAACAACAGAGAAACGTGACGACGCCTCTGAACCTGATCAGGAAGCTGAAGAAGAACCTGATGAAGGGAGAAACGGCCCACTGTCCAGACACTTGGAGGGAGCTGGTTAGGAGTCTGAGCTTCTCTCCACATAAACGCTGAAAAATTCAGGTGTGATGCTTGAAAGCTGCCTGATAAAGTCATCATCATTTATTTTAGTTTATCATAATAAATGTGCTTCTTATATTATTATATAATAAAACGTGACTAATAAGGATCTGTGTGTTCCCTCTCCTGTATGAATGACCCCATCAGGGTCTCTGTTCAGATGGCTCAGGTGAAAGGTCAGCAGGAGTGGATGACTGACTTTGTTTATGTTTAAAATAGGCAACAGTACCTCTGACTAGATTGAATAATCTGCACAAACACACCCAACAGCCGTGTAATTACCCCTGTGGCTTAACTGAGGCTCAAACATCCAGTTATGTGGTTTCACATGAGCCTTAAACTAATTTTCTAATTAAAGTGAGTTTGGATGGATTCTGTAAACATCCGCGACGAGGCTCAGATTGTGTAGATTATGGTTCTGAACCCAAAATAGCTGAAGGGATTGATTATTTATCAATTATCAAGTACGGAATCTGCTTTAAAGAGTCGGCATCCTGTAGTGAAAGAATCAGTGACTGGAAAAAAGGTCGATGGAATGAAAAGATGGACAACTTTAGACTAACGTCTATTTTCAGGTGAGGGAGTGGGAAGGAACCTCTGATTCTGTAAAAACGCTTTTGAGGGACTGAAAGGGTTTTTAGAGGGAACTAGTGAAACATTTACACATTTTTCTCATCAGATTTGGTTCCTTCTTGAGAACGTCAGACTCTTTTCATTATGACTCAGACTTCCCAACAAGCAGAAGATCACACACCCCCTTCCCTCAACCTGACACTAATTTCTCTGCCGTCCCCCTCCCCTCTCCCCTCTCCCCTACATTTTCCCTTTGCCAGAGTCCCTCTTCATATGGTTTCAGTCTAGCACATAAAAATGCACACACACACACACACACACACACACACACACACACACACACACACACACATACACACACACACACACACACACACACACACACAGTGGCTTTCAGGAGATGTGTGTGGTAACTCAAATACTTTTTTAGACATTCCAGACAATAAAACTTTTGTTTTGTCAATAAATTAAAAACTGTTCCACTCCTCACATGAAAAAACGTATGACTGTGTGTGTGTGTGTGTGTGTGTGTGTGTGTGTGTGTGTGTGTGTGTGTGTGTGTGTGTGTGTGTGTGTGTGTGTGTGTGTGTGTGTGTGTGTGTGTGTGTGTGTGTGTGTGTGTGTGTGCTTTCATGACATAGACCCCAGCTCCAAATCTGTAAATAATCATCTCGTCCACAGCCCCCTCCCTATGAAGTAACTGCACAGTTCTTTTTTTTTTTCTTCTTTTGCAAAATGGTTTCATTTTGACTGGATTTAGGGGGAAATGTTCCTACAAGTTACTTTTCATTAATTCTGTTTGGTTGTTATGTTAAAGTCAGCAACTGAGAGAGATCGACGCTGGCTTTAGGGGTTTTTAGTTGTCGGGGGTTTGATGCTGGCCCTGTGTCAAACGCAAACGCAGACACCCCCCCCCCCCCCCCCCCACCCGCCCACCCCGTCTCCACACTGCTCAAACAACAATTTCAAGATGTTTTATTTCAATTTAAAGAACACACTCTTACTGTCTTCTCAGAAACACACAGCTGTAGGAGGCTCCCTGTGTGGAGGTAAAAACCCAAATAAAGTCAGATTTTGGGGTAACTGAATGGATCAAACGGGAGAAGGGATGATGTAGGGAGTTAGTGTGAGTTTCTGTGCTGAAACATGATCTAACATTCACATATCGACCACAGTGAGGTCAAAGGTCAGAGCCAGCTGCTTACAGGAACCAAGAGTCTCAGTAGGAGATTAAATATTGATTTTACTTTCAGATCTAAACTTATTATGATAATAGAGGCTTTTGTTCCACTTTATGAGCAGTTCTCTGCCCAACCAGAGCGGGGCAGCAGCAGAGCCTCACGCAAATGCCCCTCTCTCTCTCTCTCTCTCTCTCTCTCTCTCTCTCTCTCTCTCTCTCTCTCTCTCTCTCTCTCTCTCTCTCTCTCTCTCTCTCTCTCTCCTGGAGAGGGAACGTCTCAGAGGTTTGAAGGTGGGAGGGGAGAGGGTCTCCTGTCTGCTCCTTTGTCATGGGAAGACTTTCCTCTGCTGTTTCAGACAGACGGAGGAGTTCAGCTCCAACTCCAACTCGCGCTCATCAGAGAATCTTTAGACATGTAACTGAGGTCAGTCTCTCTTCTTTTATCTACAAGTTGTTTACTCAGGAGCATATTTGATGCAGGCTTGCAGAATTACATAATCAGCATGAGATGACACAAACACATCTGCACTAAGCTGGAAAAGTTTTCTGTTCAACTTTAATCGATGACATCTGAACTCAGATTTAAAACAATTCAAATGTTTCTTTAATGCACCAAAACTTTACAACGTTAAGAAAACCAGCTCATTCATGTAACATATGAAATACAGATGTTAGTGCTCAAAAACAAACAAATCATGAATGATTTTTGTAATCTGATTACATCCTGTGTTTGTTCAGGCTTTGCTCTGTTTAGATGTCAAAATGTTTTCCTAAAAACATGAAATAATAAAATGTCTGTTGGGTTGACTGTCAGACTGTTTTCCTGCACCAGTTTTTGTGGTTTGACTTTTGTACGTTCAGATTTTTAAATAATTGCTTTTTCATGCTCGTAAAGTTTTCCACAAGTTGTCCTTTTCTTTCCACGGAAAATTAACTAACGCTTGTCTGAACGAGCGAAGCAAGCGAGGCCGTTAGGGTTGGGGCTTTCTTACACAATCTGGGAATACTTTTCCTCAGATGAAAGATGTCTTATCAGCCATCATTCCACAAACTGTTTACATCTCCTAGTGTGTTTCTGATGAGCCTGCAGAGCTGCAGCGTAGCTGATGCAGCAACACCTCCAGCCTTTTACTTGATGCTCGGGGGTGGGGGTGGGGTGGGGGGGTGGGGTGGGGGGGGGGGTCCTTCTCCTCTCTCCCCTCCTTCTTTCTTGGAGGTCTGGAGAATGAACTCATGCTGACTGGATGCATGAGTGTGTAAGTGGATACCCTGCTTCCTGTTGGCTCTCTCTCTCTCTCTCTCTCTCTCTCTCTCTCTCTCTCTCTCTCTCTCTCTCTCTCTCTCTCTCTCTCTCTCTCTCTCTCTCTCTCTCTCTCTCTCTCTCTCTCTCTCTCTCTCTCTCTCTCTCTCTCTCTCTCTCCAGACAGCAGGACCAGAGCCTCTCAGATCAGCCTTTCTCTGGGGATTCAGAAAAAAGTTATGTCTGACTTTCAACACCATCCTGAACTAGACCAGGGATTTGTGGGTTGATTTATTCATTTTTGGTCCAAGAACCACACAGTTCTTCACTTAGAGCAAGGGTGTCAAATATGCGGCCCGCGGGCCGGATCCGGCCCACAAGCGGGTTAAATCCGGCCCGCGGGATGGTTGTGTAAACTTTATTTTCATACTTTACAATGTAGAGTGAAAATAAACTTATCGTTGTGAGCAAGTTTTCTCTGTAATGAGTATAAATAAAACAAAGCTGCGCTCAAGGCTCACACAAGAACTTGAATCACATCCTGAAGTTGGCTGTCACTCAGAATGTGACTCCTGATATTGATGTGCTGGTGAAAGCTAAACAATGTAAAGTAAAATGAGTCAAATATACTTTAAGTGCTGCATGAAACTGATCTTGCCATGTGATCTGTAAGCTCTTTGAATCACTAAGGAATGTTTTTTTAATTTTTTTTTTTTTTTTTCAAATTTTCAAGTACACTTCAGGTGTTGTACTTGTACTATTTTGGATACACTGTCCTCAGGCTCCAGCCTTGTTTTATATTGATTGTATTAAAACAAAGAAAACTATCTGAAGTTTTTTTTAATTTACCGGTCCGGCCCACTTGGGACTAGATTTCCCTCAATGTGGCCCCTGAGCTAAAATGAGTTTGACACCCTTGCCTTAGAGCCTTTGGCTGTGTAGAGTTAAAACATCATTAATGTGCAACGTGCTGCCTTTCAGACTTCACTGGGAACTGTAGCCAGACCCTAAAGCTCAGGATCTGTTTAAACACTTTGTCTCTGGGAATGGGAACATCTGGAATATCCACTGGGACTTCCTGACTGAGAAATAAACATTTGACTTTTATTAATGGAGCTATACAATATTTGTTCTTCACCTTTTATATCTGCTATGGTGCTTATATCTATGCAGAGAAACGATTAAGCATAGACTTCCACAACAAAGCAGACCCCCTAGTGCTTGGTGTTGTGTGTGACTGAGACCACATCGGTAAATATCTGTAAAAACAAACAATTATATCCATTTGAATGTTTTCTATTAGCCTTGACCACCATCTTGAATGGGGTGGGCTTTAGGTTATATTGCAGTCATCCATGTGTTTTGGGTCTTTGTCAGCGTTTGCTCCTATTTGCGAGACCAACGTTTATCTTTTTACCAGGTTAGCCTGAAGAAGGAACTGCCAGAGAGAGCTGGTGGGCCCCCTTGTGTTGGGCGAATGTCCGCCGGGCTTGTTTCCTGTTCGTTTGATCGTTTCTGATGCGATGCCTCAGTCCATGATGTAATCGTGTACTTTGTAGTTTTGTGATTTGACTTACTTGAGACTTCCCTGTTTAGTTTTCTGAAGCAGCAACACTTTAGGGGTGGGCGAGGCTGTAGACAGCATGATGAAGGAGCTTTTAAATGTTTTAATTTTTAATCAGTTAGCTCTGATGTAGCAACAGCTGTTGGTTAGAGTGACACTTTTTATTCAACTTTGATCTGAGCTCACCAGGAAATGCCCGCTCTCCCTATCGGAGCTCAAACACAGATACAACATGAATCTATGTCAGTGTGTCGCTGGTCGGCAGGCTGAGCGTTTCTTATTGATCTTGTCTCCTTTGTCAGGCAGGAATCCTCCACCCTTCGCTCTGCTCCCCTGAAGAAGAGGAGGTCACTAATGAACAGCATGCTTCCTCAGAGGAGCTCTGTCTCCGCTCTGGGCTTCGGCTCGGGTAAGACTCACGAGTTATATTTGGACATTAAGGGATATGTGTAATTACATGTGTTATAAATCTGGGGTCTTGCCACACTCGTTTTGACACTTTCACCACTCAGCTAGTTAATCAGTCATCCTCAGGATTTTTCTGTCAGCTGAGACGATGGTGTATTCTGCCTTGTCTTGGTTCACCAGCATTCTTCCATTTTTAGAAGAGACTTAACCGATGACTGAGCCTCTGTTTGTGTTGGCCTCAGACTTGTGTGAGCGTACATTCCCCACTGGTTTTCCCCTCTTACTCAGCGTAAAAGTGGTTGCATATCATTTAGGCCGGTTTCCCTTTATGTGGGTTAGAGGCCTTTGATTAAGTCAAAAGAGGAACAGAACTTCATGCTCTGTCAACTTTCTGTTTTCTGCAGACTGTGTGAAGATTGAGCACAGCAGCGGTAGGTCAGTGGGGGGGACACTGCTGAGGGGCTCTCGCTCTAAAGCGGAACTTCAAGAGCTGATGGAGACGCTGCAGCGCAGGAAGAGTGCACTGGAAGCCAGCCTGAGGGCAGCGGAGTGCAGCCGCAAGTACCTGGGCCAGTCCACCAGGCCGCTGTCGGTCCTCAGCAGCACAGAGAAGCCTCCGTCTGTCTCCAGAAACTTTTCTTACATCAGCAGCAGTAGTGTGCCTCCATCACCGCGTCAGGGAGAACGCCAGATTGGCTCTAATGGTTTGCTTCGTCACTCCTATTCTCGCCACCAGTCACAGGACAGTTTGCTGCTCTCTAATGCAGCAGATGGGAGCTCCCTGCTCTCCTCCTACGGAGAAACAGGGCCTCGTTCTCCAAGGGTCAAGAGCGGAGCAGCAAGTATGCCATCCAGCCCTCGAATGGGCCGTAGGCTCTACTCTCAGGGCAGAGCTGGAGGAGACTCCAGACAGAGGAAATATTCCACCGGCTCCCTCAACAATCTGGGGATGCACAGCCGCTCTTTGCCTCGACTTCACAACGCAGCAGAGCCCCCGGCTCTCTCGCTGCCATCCCGTCACTCAGTGGGTTCTCACAGAGGAGCGGTGTCGGTGGGTCAGAGACGCAGTCTTTCCTCCCTGGAGCAGCCTCCAGATGTCACAGTACCAGCCAGTATGCCCAGCACATCAAGGAGGTCCAGTTTAGCTTCTCTGAGCTCTCTGGGTGTGGAGATAGATGGGACGGGCCTAGACCTGGGCTTAGGGGAGAGAAGAATGTCCTTTGGGAAGGGTGGATTGAGTCCAGGACAGAGAGTGGGTAGCATCAGTTCTCTGAATGGCAAAGAGGAGCTGAGAGACTACCACCAGCATCAAAGAGATGAGAGACTCAGGGAGCAGAAAGTTCAGCGACTGGTGAGCAGCTCTCTGTTCATTCTCATATGGTTTCATAATTTTATAAAAAACATGGTGAATCTCCTTTGTGCAGGAATGCCAGCGTCTAGAGTCCATCCTGAACCTGTGCACTGAGTTTGGACAGGTGGTGAGAGAGCCAGCGGGCTCAGCTGTTACTGATCTGCAGAAGATCAATAAGGAGCTGGAAAAGCTGCAGGTGTCGGACGATGAATCTGTGTTCTCCGACTCCCCCAGCAGCACCGCTCCAGACTGCAGTTTTGTGGCCAAAGTCAGAGATTTACAGTTTTCTGAGGAGCAGCAGATCACCCAACATCAGCAGAGCAGCTACAGGCAGGCCAGGTCCCTCTCACCAGCTATCAGCCTGAACAGCAGCGCCCCCTCCCCCTCCACACACCACAGAGCCAAGGTATGCTTCTTCTGACCATAACCCATCCATCCATCCATCCATCCATCCATCCATCCATTCATTCACCCATTCATCCATCCATCCATCCATGCATTCATTCATCCATCCATTCATCCATCCATCCATCCATCCATCCATCCATCCATCCATCCATCCATCCATCCATCCATCCATCCATTCACCCATTCATCCATCCATCATCCATCCATCCATGCATTCATTCATCCATCCATTCATCCATCCATCCATGCATTCATTCATTCATTCATCCATCCATCCACCCATGCATTCATTCATCCATTCATCCATC